ACGAAAGCTCATGCTCAAATAAATTGGTTAGTCTCTAAGGTGCCACAAGTACTCCTTTTCTTTTTGCAAAGACAGACTAACACGGCTGTTACTCTGAACTTTATACCAAACTATTTCTTACGGTACACAATTGTACGCCAAGACCATACTCAATTGCCATCTTTTTTCTCTGAACTTCTCCGTGGGGATTCATAGTGCATGTATGGCATCAATTGTGCTCCTCCTTGGCATGAATCCAGCCTGATCCTTCCAAATTTCAACCATTCCACACGGACACTTTTCAATAATCTTCTTCCATACTTTCACAGCAGGTGATATCAGCTTAATTGGTTGATAATTAGCACACATTGTAATATCTCTTTCTTGTTTAAAAATAGGCACCACAAAACTTTCACGCCATTCATCCAACATTTTCCCTTTCTTAAGAATATAATTAAACAAACTTATAAGATACTTAAAGCTTTCCATTCCCAGTGATTTAATTTCACCCACTAGTACTTCATCTGGCCCAAGTACTTTCCCCTTTTTCATTTTCTTAAGTGCCTCTGCAGCCTCTTCCTTCTGTATGCAATCTATCAGGCCCCAGTTCAGCTTACATGTTCTTAATTCCTCCTTTGGGTTCTCCTCATTCATCACTCTTTCAAAGTAATCACTCCAAACTTTGTTGATTAATTCTCCATTTATTTGCAATATTCCATATTCATTTATAGCATAAGCAAACTTGTTCATGTTCTCTCTTGCCCTGGCAAGTCTTTTGATGGTCTTCTCTCCCTCATGTCCTCTTCGTTAGTTATATAGCACATCACAGGCCACACTTTTAGCCCTCACAACACTTGTTTTGGCTGCTTTTTTTGCCTCCATGTATGCCATCTTATCTCTCCTCAAGCCACTGACCTGCCGTTTTTTTTATGAAGGTTACCATTTTTCACCCCCAACAGATTCTTTAACTTGAGGAGCCCACCACCCAAGTCTCCCTTCTTATCCTTTGTGGTGTTGGTTTAATCATTCCTAGGACTTCATGTGCCATTTCTAACAGTTTACTTTAATTTGAATCAGTTGTCCTCCACCCATCCCTGTGTGTAGTCAGGAAGTCTACACATTACTCTTTGTTTGAAGGTTTTCTCATTCCCATCTTTAAGTTGCCATCACTTAAGCCTCGCTGGTGCCCAGGGGCTCAGACGTTTCTGAGGTCTCTGCATTCTGAAGTCCATTAGGAGAAGTCTGTGCTGTCCCACAGTGCGCTCTCTGGGTATTCCCTTACAATTGATTATTTGTGATCTGTCTAAGAAATCAGTTTGGGACTTGTCCTCCACTGGCACAAGTTATGAGATGGCTTCCCTTCTTCTGCAAGTGCAGTCACCAATCCCAATGCCAGACAAGTCTGTAGAACCATCTTCCCCCTCAAAAGTTTCTGGTTCCAGTGCCTTATGACCTGCTTCATATCCAGCCTTATCAGTTCCACTGCGTACATTTTAGATCTGTTCCGATAAATGTCTTCTCATTGGATGGTATGTTTCTCGTAAGGCACAGCAACTCATTGAAAAACTTCTCTTTTGATCCTCTCCTAACTGTGGTGCACATCAACTTATTATATGGATAGTGAAATCTTCCCAACACAATTTAACATCCATTAGTCGGTCCAACCTTCTGGTAATCTCTCTCATATGCCTGTGCGTAGTTTCATTTGGAATAGCTTCCAACATTATTTCAGGCAGTTGAACTCCCTGAGTAATAGATTTTGTAATCCTCCACCAGTTGGCTCTGCAACTTTCCCTATGATCTCTTGTATAAGTGCCATATTTACTCTTCGCCTCATTTTAAGACCTCGCATAGTTCCAGACTTCCTCCAGTGAATGTTCTACATTGCAACTTCCACATGTCTGCTTACTCACTTGCTTCTTTAACTTTAGAGGCCTTTTCCCAGTTACAGTAGTCAAACAAGGCTGCTGTACCTTGCTTGCAGGGAGCATCTTAGCTCTCTGAGGTACTTGACATAGACGTCAGTTCACATGAGCATGTCTGCTGGATGAGCGTTATAGGTCAGCCATCCAAACATGCGACCTTTGGTTTGAAATTGGAGTTTCCCTTTTCCTAGGTGAGCTGCCTACCAAGGGTGACAAGCTCCATCTGTCCTGACAATACCTTTGTTTTTTTTAATAAACCTCTTTAATCATCATCAGTTTAGCATTCCTTCTTCGCAAACTCCTGGTCAGCAAAAAAACATCCTTTTTTCCCTTTTATCTAGCAACTGTGCCCAACAATCAATAATTATTATAGTCAGGGCTCGTAGCCCTGCCTATTATTAAGGTTGCCCAACATTTCCCATAAGACCCTATTTTCAGTAGCTTATAACTTTACCAGACTATTTGGGCTGAAATTTTCCATGCTGGGTGTCTGCCTCAGGCAGATCTTGGTTTTGAAAATTTCAGCCAGAATGATTCCCTCAGCTCTGAGAAAGAGGCTAGTGAAACGTACATTTTGTCCATGTTTAAGAATTTGAGTGCCCTTTTCTTTAAACAGCTCTAGCATCTCCGTGCTTTTGAGCAGGGACTTGAAATTTGTCGGGGGATGGCTCTGAGTTGTCCACATGAAAATCGCCCCATATGTGGCCAAATTGTAAGCCACTGAAAAATTGCAGTTCACACATGCTCCGTAGAGACTTCTTAAACTGGGACTTGCTGGACAAACAGACTGGAGCTAGGAACCAGTGGGGGGATACTGGGGAAAGTAAAGGGGGGGAGGTATGGGGGAGACAGATGGGATGAGGACCCTGAGAGTAAAGAGTGGGAGCTACTGTGGGGGGAGCAGAGACAGAGATCAGATGTGGAGCTGGAAAGGGGGAAGTGGAACTGGCTGGGCAACATGACAGGGCTTGTGGGAAGAGATCTGTGAAACCTACTGGCAAAGGTCCCATACCACTCTACTGCTGGTCCACGCTGAGGTTGACAATCTACTATTGCTATCAGTTACTCCGTTAGCTTAAGTAGCAGAGGACTATGTGGTGGATCTAAAGGTTCCTTCCTTGCTAATATGATGCAACATGGTAGAGATCCTATTTTTTCAGTTGGCTATTTTAAAAATTGAGGGAATTACACACAGAAAAACTGTGTTAAAAACATTTTTAAGGTTGCGAAGTCAAACACTCAAAATTTATGAAATGCCAGAATTAAAATTCCCTGTGCAACCTTAATTTATCTCCCTTGTGCATATGCATCGTCATAGTCTTTAATTGCATGATCACATGCTGTTAGTGACTTCCTCAGCATCACAAAGGAACACTGTGGCAGCAGGAGGAATAGAAACCCATCCTCCAGGCAGCATTCAACTGCCTTAACCATAAGACCATCCTTTCTCTTCCTGCAGTCCTCAGCCTCATTCACTACATGCCTTCCAAATTCTGCAACAAATGAGACGGGTCATACAGACAACAGCCTCCTTTACTACACAGTCCTGTTTTATCTTCAGAAGAAATCCACTGCACCGATTGAGGCAGAGGTCTTGTGGGGAAAAAACAGTACTTGATCATGTAATGAGACTGCATCGTAATGCATAGACGTAAGGGGGCTGAATTAAATTTGCACAGGGAACCTTAATTCTGGCATCTCCTAACTTCTGAGTGCTGGACTTCGCAACTTGAATAATAATATTCTAAAATAGTAAAGAGTTGGGGGGGAGGGGGAGAGAGAGACAGACAGACCACAAATGTGTAGGTCAGCAATGAAGAACATGTAAAAAGAGGCGATCCCCAAATCTTTTTTTTCTTCATGAACTCTTTTAGATTAACTCCTATTCTGAAAAGTTAAATGCATAGGGAAAGGTAAAACTGAAATCTTTTTAAAATGACTTTTTCAAGTAAAATGAAATAAACAGGGTGCATGTCATGAAAGAATAAAATCCATCCGTTTGTTTTGCATGAACAGATGGAGGTTCTTGTTTGATATGAGCATCTTTTAAAAAAAATTAAGACTTAGAACTTTGCTATGTCTTGTAAGATGGAAACTGAACTTGCAGTTTCATAAAACTGTTTTGTGACTTTCAGGAATTTTTTAGTGGTTTGGGGCTTGTTCTCCTGTTTCATTTTGGTGGAGGGAATTTCATGAATCTAATTCTTCTTGTAAGAAGAGAAAATGGGACTTCATTGCTGGGGATGAAATAATTGTTTAGCTTTTCTATACCATAGCAGTAGTACAGATATGACACAAACTGTACAGTTACAAATCCATGCATATAAAATATGGACAATGCTTGCACATAATTGAAATTGTGGCTATATTTTCCCAATGCACCTCTTTGAAAGGTTTTTTTAGCTCAGTGATACTCAGACTGAGGCTCAGGAGCTGCAAGCGGCTCTTTAATATGTCTCTTTGCAGCACATGAAATGAAGACACTGTGTGATTTAATTATTAACCCATCAGGATGCTTTTGCTATGTTAACTAATTGTAGTTGATAAAATAATTTTATATATATATGTATGTATGTAAGCTAAGTATTTCCGCTGTTGTCAGGGCCGGCAGCAGCGTTCCAAGCAGGTGCTTGGGGCGGCAGTGTTTCCGCGGTAGTGGCAATTGGGTGGCAGCTTCTCTGTTTTGCCGGCCACGGCGGCAATTCGGCGAGAGTTTCTCTCTTCTGCTGTCTGTGGCGGCAATTTGGTGGCAACAGTTTTTTTCACTGTTTGGGGCCGCAAAAATGATAGAGCCGGCCCTGCCTGTTGTACTGCTTAAATATGAATATATAGTAAATTAAACAATGAATTCACACTACTATGGCTCTTTTGGGTAATGCCGGTTGCTAATTTAGCTCCTGAACACCACTGAGGTCCGAGGATCACTGCTTTAGCTCTATCCCAGAGGAGAAAGAGAGGATTGAACTTTAACTTTCTATACATTCCAAATAGAAAGTAATAATTTGTTTCTTAATTTAAAAAAACTTCACAGCAAAAAATGTCGGCCCTCTTTAAACTAAGAATATTTCTTCTATTATTTTCCCCCCTCTCTTATAGGTTTAACACTGGTTGGTCTACACCAGCAAATGGAGAAGAGATCCATAAACGAGTGAAAAATATTTTAAGGACACACAGTGCTAGGCAAAGGCTGACATTTGTAAGTTTTATGTTTTCAAGCTAAACACATTAATTTGTCACAAAATATTTAAGGGGAAAAATTGTCCTTCCTACAGATTTTGTGTAATAAAAGGTTTCTTTTCTGTGAAAGTCATGGACAGTGTGGCAGGCACTATGTAGCCTTTATGGACAGGGCTTGTGGGTAACTCCCTCACAGAGTGTCAAGGGATAGTGACATTATGTTCATCTTTACATTTCTCTCTCCTGCTCCAATTTAAAATAAACTTAATAGAAATGTGTTATGTGGATTGAGAGAGCTTAATTCCCAAATACCTGAATGTCACCCAGTCAGGGATACTGTATTCAGCTGTTTTGTACAGGTATCTTTAATCCTCAGAGGCATGTTATTTTTTCTTCATTACCTGATCTTCTATGAATGGTGGAGGAAGAGCGTGTTCTGTACGTAAGTAAGGAGTTTATGCCCTAGATCAGCGTATTCCATTCTTCTCTCAGTGAGAACTTTAAGGGCATTTGTAGTCAGATAAGTGAACCCATATCCTAGTGTGTCTGAGTCCTAGAAATACAGGCCAAGATTTTTTAAAAAGTTAAGCTTCTCCATCCATAAAAGCCATTCTGCTCTGGAAAATGATTTTGTAAAATTGGCATAATGAGATTCCGTTTTTGTGTCTCGGTGACTCTAGGTCAAATCAATTTACAAGTAAAAAGGTTTTATTATAACTGCCTAACTCAACCTGGAATATGAAAGTCTATGTGTTCATTCTGGCTCATGCTCCCCCAACAATAATTCTGAAGTTGAAATGCAATTAACAGTGCTGCTGATCTGTAAGCTAGGCTGGAATCCAAGTCACTCTCCTATAGCTGTGTCGGCGAGTCAGAGGTAATGAGAGTAAAAACACTAGTAAAATTCAAATTGGAGCAGATCTACACAGTAGTGATAATACTTAAGAGTTTTCATCCATGGAATTTAAAGGGTTTACAAAAGAGAGCTAGCGTTAGTGATGGGGAACCTGAGGTGCAGAACAGTGAAGTGACTTGCCAAGGTCACCCAGTAGGTCAGTGGCACAGCTGGGAATAGAAACTGGTCTCTTGACTTGCAGTGCTACCCTATCCAAAGACAAGAAGGGATCTTCTCTTTTTTTTTTTATAACACTCTTCAGAGTAGAACTGCGCTTAAAAAAATCAAATCTATGTAGCCAGAAATCTCTTTAGTCTGAACCTATTTCCTGAAGTTTCAAGTTGCTCAAGTTAATCTGTCCTTTGTGCTTTGTTGACATACTAAACAGTATGACAGTCTGTTAAATGCTTTTGTGATGTTCCATTTAGGGCATGGCTACACTTGCAGATGTAGAACTCTATGAGTTAAACCAGCCCTCGGGGAGCGCAGTAGGGAAAGCGCTGCAGTGTGTCCACACTGTCCAATTCAAATGCACTGCTGTGGCCACGTTAGCAGCTCGTGCAATGGCCACAGAGGGTAGTGCATTGTGGTAACTATCCCAGCATGCAAGTGGCTGCAACGTGCTTTTCAAATGGGGGGGAGGGGGGAGTGTGACAGTGAGTATGTTGTATGTTGGGGGAGAGTGAGTGGGTTTTTGGGGGGGCTGAGAGCATGTCAGCATGCTGTCTTATAAGTTCTGGCAGCAGCAGACCCCCTTTTCCCCCGCCTCTCAAGCAACATTCCACACTAATGGTTGCTTTGTCTTGGAGCAGATAAGCAGCCGGCTGTCAGAAACGGAGCTTTGAAAGAGCATATCCGCATTCCTACAGCTGATTCCAAACAATGACAAGAGTGGCCACTTCCAGGGATTATGGGAAGTTTCTGGAGGCCAATCGCAGAGCAGTAAGGCAACACCTCGTTCACACTGAAGCTGGGGCATTTCAGCCAAGACGCAGCAAGCATTCTGCTTCTCGTGGAGGTGGATTACCAGGAGCGCTCCAGCTGCAGAGTCCAGGCACTCTTAAGTGCCTTGCCAGTGTGGATGGGTCATGGGTTAGGGCACCCAGGGCTGCTTTAATGCACTCTAACTTGCAAGTGTAGCCAAGCCTACAGTCTGATAATTCCCCTCTTGAAGCTCTACCATTGTATTGGGGTGAATACTGTTGAGAAATTTCCCTTTGCAAGATCTCTTATCTCCAAAGCACAGACTTCTCTTGTCGCTCCACCTGTGCGTGCAACATAGCTGAGGGTGAGCAAAACATTTTATATGCCATAACAGCTTACTGCAGCACTGAGTATCTTAAACCATTCTTTATGGAGAACTTCATGAATACAAACTCCTACATCTTCAGCTCTCTGGCACAAATAGCAATTACGCCTGCACTCAGGTTTCACTGCGAGTATATACAGATTAATGGAGTATGGAAAGTCCGTTTTGGTCAAAGGTTGATTTGAGATGTTGGTGCTATCACGTTTTTTGTCACTGGACATGAAGGAAGGAAGGAGGGTTGGTCTCATCTTTATCCTCAACATTCTCTTAATATTAAAACATTCTCGTTTTTCTCCCATCATGAAAATCTTACTGATTCCCAGCTACTGTATCATACTTTCCCTCCCCTCTTGATCATATAGACAATTCCTTCCTACCAACTCTCTCTTTGACACCTTGTAGACTAGCTTTCTGTAGAGTCAAGTGGCAAAACTGCTCTTGCTAAAGAAACCCATATGACAATATCTTGGCAGGATCTAATGGCTTTAGCTCTCTCTCTTCACATTTGAAAGGACTGATAACGCCTCCTTGTCCCCAGTCTTCCAATTCAATGTACTGTGTCTTGGTTTTTCTCCTTCCTTTTTAACTAGCTCTATAGTACTTTTTTCTATGGCACTATCTTCTCCTCCTCTCCCTCTCTGTCAGAGTTCCTGGGACTCCATTCTTGACTCTGTCCTCCCACTCTCTCTGGGTCATCTCATCCATGACTATCTTTACAGTAGTAGTTACCCAATCTACTTCTCTGCTTCTTGTTGTTACTTCCAATTCTACGTCTTGCTGCTACCTCAGATTCACGATAGTGAACCCAGGCTTGGCTATTCCCCTACCCCCATTTATCTTTGCTTTTTCCTGAATTGGTTCATACCATCACCATTTTTCCTGTATTACAGGCTCTCATGCCTAGGGTCATTTCTGATTAGTCTTTGATTCTTCCGTCCTGTCCAAGCCATTGCCCAAACTTGTCATTTCCTTTTTTCACAACTCTTTCAAAATTAGTCTCTTCTTTTCACACCTGCTGCCAAGGTGATAATCCATGCTTTAGTAATTTCCTTCCTAGGCTACTGTAACCTCTTCCTCATTGGCCTTCTCCTCTTCTCTTCTCCCCATTTTAGTGTATCCAAAATGTATCTGCTAAGATCCACATGTTGTCAGAGCTCTCCAATAGCTCCACTCTGCTTTTATACTTTCCCTCATCTACACCCCTAACCCAGCCTCCTCACTATGTTCTGCCATACTTCCTGTTTAACTCTCCCGTGTCTCTTTTGCCCACTCTTAAATTTCATGTCTCCTTTCATGCTCCCCCACTTCACACTCCAAGTTCCATGCAGTCTCTCTGGGTATGCTCCACTGCCAGCTGGCCTGTGCCTGCGGGGCTTGGGATAACGGGGCTCAGTCTCTTAGCCCAAGTCAACAGGCATGGGCCCGCCGTGGGTGTTTAATTGTAATGTAGACATACCCTTTTAGAGTGATGCCTGTTCTGTGAAGTGTATGCTTAGCGCCCTCTACCAGCTGTGTGCTATATTGTACCTGCTCTGACTTCAGACTGTTAGATTTTCATATTTACTGAAAGGTACAGTTTGCCAGTAATGGTGCTATGTATGACTTCTTTACATGAAGGGATGAGAATGAATTGTTACTGCTTAGCCAAAATCACATCCCTGAACTCCCGTGACTTCTCTTTTAGAGGGAGGACCAAAATTTGACTTTCCAAATTAGTAATCTACAAGTTTATTTACAAAACTAGGTGTACGCACAGACTGAAATTCTTGTCAAATGAAAGATATTCAGTCTGAATCCCCAGAAGTAGAGACAATAACTAAAATTCATATAATTCATATGTTTTTACCCCTCCATTCATATTCAGGTATGAGAACCTAGTCTCCTAATCTGATTTTTCTGTCCACTCTTGGCTATTTTTCAAAGCTATTGGAGAGCCTTTTTTTGGTGCATGTTAAGACTATTTGACTAAATGTAAATTGACTAAATTCCAAAATTGTACATGAACTTCATGAGCTTGTGTGAGCTGCACTGCGGCCTGTTAAATACAAGATGTTTGTAACATTTTTTCTGTGTTCTAAGCACTCAAAAGCAGGTACAGCTCAGGTCAGTCTCTTCTGGTGTTCCAATGAATTTAGGATTGCAAACTGAATTTTATGACAGTCCTGCACCTACGTGTAATGAAAGTTTGCACAGCCTAAACCAACTCCAATAGTCCTGCTTCACCTGAACACCAGACCATGACTCTAAGATAAAAGGATTTACTAGTTTGCTAAAAAAGCCTGATGACTGGCTATATTGTCTTCCCAGGAAGCCATAAATGGCTTTTAACTCTTAAAGAGGAACTGCAAATGGGGAAATGTGAGTCTTTTTCCTCCAAGCACCCCTTTTCCACTGGCCCTTTCTTGAAAAGTCATCATTTGAAAACACAAAAATAAAGCCTCATGCCACTCCTGAGCTGCCTCTACACAAGGGTTTCCTGTCTCTTACTGCCATATTGAACCATCTGTCCCTTACACGCTCACCCAAACTTGACAGGATGTGCTGTGTTGGCTTGAGCAGACATGGCCAGTTCTGCAGGTGAGTGGATGGACTAGCACAGGGAGTGTTGAATAATCATAAGGCAAGTCTCTGTGACCCCCTCTCCCTGCCCAAAAAGATGATCCCATTTAGGAGGGCAGGTGGGAGTGAGACCCAATGGGAAGAAACAGGAAGGCAGGACATCAGGCAAGATGGGATCTTTTAGTTTTGGTACACTTATAACTGGCTGGCTTTCAGATAAAAATACTGCTTCTCATGCTCTTTTGTTCATGTTCACTTTGCCTCTATTCACTTAAATAAGCAGATAATTGCTTTTTGACATTTATTATGTATCATTAATTTGTGTTGCACTATCCTCTGAACCACCAGTCGAGGATCAGGGTCCCATAATTCAGGGTGCTGTATAACATCTGGTAGAAAAACACTTCTTGTCCTAGAGAGCTCAAAATCTAGGTTGTGATAGGAGGCAACAGGTAGGTGAGGCAGATGAGGAGGGGAGGACAAGGTAATAATACAGCAAACAAATTAGCATACAGGAAACAGAGGTCTTGGCTCAGGTCTCCACTCCTGTCCAAATTTGTTATACTTACGGAAGAGTCTCTAATTCCTGTTATTCCAGAGAGCATGGGCCTAATGTCTCTAACCTTTACAAATAACCACAGACCTTGAGATCAAGTGCAATATCAGCCAACTGGGTTTTGCTAGTTTTTATATCTGTAGTGCCTTCTGAAAATACTGTGACCAAAACTCTGGAGACTATTCCAAAGGGGGCCACTACTGCTCCAATTATAATGTGTGGAAAACTAGAACTGGGCAAAATATTTCATCTGAAACTCTTTCACCAAAAAATGCAGATTTGGGTTGACCAAAATGTTTTGTGGATTTGTTGATTTTGGCAAATGGTTTCAGGTTCAGAACAAGAAAAAAACAGGAAATGTTGAAATGAACTATTTTGCCTTAATTTAAATGAAATATTTTGATTTTTTTGGGCTGGCTTCACCAGGAGATGTAGGTATCATTCACAAAATGGAAGCGAAGGTGATGGCAGTGCCCCACTTATGCGGAGTAGCTCAGTGGTTAGAGCACCCACCTAGGGAGACTCTGGTTCAAATCCCCCACTCTGGAACAAGGACTCAGGTCTCCCGCCTCCCAGGTGAAAGTCCTAATCACCAGGCTATCAAGTATTCTGGGTGGCGCTCGCCATCATCTCCGGTTGAAGCTGTTCCACATAGTATATCCACTGGGCCAGAGAAAGTGAGAACAACTCTATACTATAATCCTAGTGGTTATGGCGCTGACCTGGACTTCAGTCCCTGCTCCTATGAATATTTATTTGATTTATTTTTGTTTTTTGGACCTGCTAGCAAACCAAAAACTCTGTTATTCAGACAGCTCTATGGACAGCATCTTCCTGTTTACATTTGATGCATCTTCTTATGCCTTCCAAAATTTAATTTGCTTCTGGCAAACATTTCCGGGTTTATCACTGCAGCTGATTCCTTCTGCTTGGTGCTTTGTAGTGTGTGGCTGCTGAGGGCAGAGTCAGATTTCCTGTTTACACATGCACCCTCATTACCTTCTATTTCTCTATGATAAATAGCGTTAGCCTTTCCACTGTCCTAGGCCATTCAGTTTGCTCTCCATTTTATTTCTTTTTTTCCTTATATTCACTGTCCTGTTTCCCAGTTTTGTGTTCTCAACCAGTTTGATTATATTAACGGCATATGTGAAAAGTAATTTGTTCACTAATCCTTGCAACAGTTGGCTTCTGCTGAAAACATCCTTTAGCTTCAACTCTGTATAGTCCTTTATTCTATACCTGCACAGTAAGTGTGGGTAAGTAAGGGAAGGGTGTGACACTACACCCCCATATTCTTCATAGAGATATTGTTATGATATGATTATGGCATAACAATGATGTATTTTATACAAGATAGATTATGTGATGTATCATTGAAAAGGTTATGATTTACTGAATAAGATTATCCTATCTGTATACATTTTTGTTTCTGAAGTTAGGAATATTGTCTATGCATCTATTACAAATGTGTTTACACCTGGAGAATGCCCATTAGGCAGAATGCAATCAGTCTAGATGTCTGGTTGGGAAGGGCCATTAGGGGGAGCAATAGGTTTTAGAAGATGCTAATCTCCCGCCAGGGGAGCCTTGCTGAGGATGCTGCAAACAGCCTCTGAGTCATGGCTGCGGTGGCCCTACAGGGACATGTGACCCAGTCACCTGATATTGGACTCCATGATAATACTAGTGTTTTTCCGCTGACCGGGGCACGGGAATCAAACTGGGACACCAAGGGTTCCCACCATATGTAAAACTATTTAAGGCAGGGGAGTGACATCATCGTGGTTGGTTCTTCGCTGGCTCCCTGCCCAAGATGACTGCTGTAAGAACACCTAAGAAACAAAAAGACTGAGCTGGGGGAGAAGGGCTGAACCCAGGCTAAAGGGTTATCTAGCCTGTGAAAGGAATAGCTGGAATTTTAAGCTGCAAACCAAGTGCAGCTTGCCTTCAAGGTTCTCTGCAATTTGCCTAAAACAACATTTAGGGTGAGAATTTGCTACACATCTCCAATTTCTTTAATAAATTAAACTTAGATTGTGTGTTTGTTTTGTTTACTAGGTAATCTGCTTTGATCCGTTTGCTTTCCCTTATAATCACTTACAATCTATCTTTTGTAGTTAATAAACTTGTTTTGTTTTGTCTAAGACCAGTGTGTGGAAAACATAACGGTGGGGCAGAAAGCTGTGTATATTCCTCTCCACATTGAGGGAGGGGGTGAATTTTGTGAGCTTATGCTATACAAATCTCTGTGCAGTGCAAGACGGTATAATTTTGGGTTTATCTGCTGGAGGGGGGTGTGCACATGAGTACTGGTCAATTCCTTCGCTGAGCTTTCCCATGCAGAGCTGATCTCAGCATCTATGTGAAGCTGCAGCTGGGTGTGTCCCTACCTGTAAGTGTGCTGGTAAAGTTGAGTCTGACGCCTGAGGAAGGGCTTGGCAGGCTGCACAACAATACAGCGGAGAGGAAACCCAGGCTGGTGGGTCAGGCGGGCCAGTGGTACTCCAGTTTCAAGTGGCACCCTGGCAGGGGGGAACCCATCGCAAAGGGATTCCTACCTTCTAGTCTTGGTTGTTCTACTGACTTTCAGTGGGTAATATGCTACTTACCTTTCGCACAGGGGACCAATTCTTTAATGTTTGTTAAGCGCTCAGACGATGAAGAATCCTAAGTAGTTACTTTTTAAGACTATCTCTGCAGAGTCAGTAAATATATCATAGTTACCTTAAAGTCTGGTAAACTAAGTACATACCCTTCTCAGCCCCACATACCTGATTTAGTTGGGGATTAGGTCCTGCTTTAAGCAGGGGGTTGGACTAGATGACCTCCTGAAGTCCTTTCCAACCCTGATATTCTATGATTCTCCCTGGAATGAACATTTTTTGTCCTCTAGAATGCCACTAACTGTTTAAAATGCATTACCTGTCTGACAGTGACCTATTATAATGAGCTAATGAATCTTTATGATTCCATTTTCCCCTTATGCAAGATACAAATGCAGTGCTGCTACCAGCATGCATCCTAGCACTCAACCCTGTGTGTGTATAGTAGGCATGAGTGACTGCCATCGTCTGCTCAGGCCCTTGGATGGACAGATCCCAGAAATTCTTTCCACTTTATTACCTGAAAATTATTAGCTGAGTTCCAGTGATTTTAATTAAAACTGATCATAAGTAGGATTTGGTTCATTACACCTTTTCCTTTCTCTCCCTCAAGAAATGTAAGCAGTTTAATAGTCATTTACTAAATGGAAGGAAACTATTTTTAAATGAAACTATTGTAATCAGAACCCGGGCTAATGAGAATTTGATTTCTGTTTTTTAGGATGAGAGTAACTCATCGAAAGGAGACTCAAGTAAGACCAGAGAAGTTTCATGTAAAGACTCATTATGTGGCAGTGAACTACAGAGCAGGTATGAAGTTTGGTTATGTGGTCCTATCTGGTAATTGGTATAGAAACAACATGTACACCACATGGCTAGCTGCAAAATGGATACTTAAAGAATTCATTTTCTATTTTAAATTATGCTGTAAAATGGCCAGATGGTTCTCTGAGTTAGGCTTACTAAGATTTTTTTTACCTAAAAGCAAAAATACACTTAATTATCATTGTGTCTTCCATGCTGCTCTGACTGACACTGTGTCAGTGTAACCTTCATTAATCCCTATTTTCAGGATTCAGAGTAGCAGCCGTGTTAGTCTGTATTCGCAAAAAGAAAAGGAGTACTTGTGGCACCTTAGAGACTAACCAATTTATTTGAGCATAAGCTTTCGTGAGCTACAGCTCACTTCATCGGATGCATCTGATGAATTTGGATTTTATCATCTCAGCCAGAGAGCAAATTTTCTATTTTTTAAAAAGTATTTCGTTATCTTTTAAATTACGGAAATGTGAAAATTGATGCTTAGTAGCTAGACAGCTTTTCCCAGGCATGTAACTGAGAGAGGATTTTTATTTTTAAATTTAAGATCAAGTGTTGTACTCTGTGCTTCATCTGTGATAGGGTGGATTAAACATAGTACTAGACAGTTTAGTGTATGTATTTCAGATGAGACTTCAAACACTGAAGTCCTGTCTGATTTATATAGGCCTAGTATCTTTGGGCACTCTTCATCTGAAGAGGTACTTGCTCCAGCGTTCTTAATCATAGTGCATTGGTTCAGTGCCATCCTGTACCCTAGAGATGCTTGCAACTCGGGGTGAGGCTGGGAGGAGGGCTTGAGAAAAGGTCCGTTGGTGGTAGTTTGTGAAACACTTCGGGATTTCTGAAGATGAAAGGCACTATATACATCTAAAACATTATTAGGTCTATGTACCTTTGCTTTTTGTTTTTAAAAAGGCCCTCCAGAATTGCAGTGCTAAATCTAGGGGGATTTGACCTAAAATAGCTATGTTTTGACACTTAAATGTGATGCAAACTTTCACAATGATTGCCAAGTCATCATTGTATATGCAGACAGGAAGAACATTCATACTGTGCAGTGTAGTGAATGTGTAACTTTTAGTGGTTTGCTATTAGCATCGTTTAAAAAACCCTACATTTTAATTTCTGCAGTTAGGGTGTAACTAAGGGTTACGATAACAATCATTCTCTCTTCTGTCAAAGAGCACTTACTTTTCTCTTTATCAAGTTTTAAAGCAATTACTAGGTAAGTTGTTGGTAACACTTCTCTACTTACTGCCACCGCTTTATCATAAGTGTATCCCTTATGATCCCTTACCCTGCCAGTTGAAGCAAACAAAGTATCTGTATGTCTATGTACACGCGTCTCTATATTGAGACAGCTTTGGGACTTTGATGTTGAAACGTCAAGCCTTGGGGGAAAAAAAAAAACAACAAATCCCAGTACTACAGTATTAAGAAATGACGGGATATGAAATGGGGCACTCAAGTTGGGAAAGTACTGCATCTTGGAGTTAGACACTGGCAACACTAATTCCACTCCACAGAAGGCAAAGAGACATAAGAACTCAAGGATAATCTGACAGCTCAGGGTTTGCACAGTTTTTGTCAACAGGATACAAGGACAGAGACAAAGTTCAGAGGAGGACATGGTACTGCCGACCGAATGTTTGCAGTAAAGTAGATGATTGAAAACCACTGGGAGTATGGAAAAGGTCCATCTTGTGTGAAATATTTAGTGTATGACTCTCTCTGAAAAGAACTTCTGGGACTCCTAAAGGAGATGTATGAGGGAATAAAAGCACATGATAGGTATTTCAGAGTGGGGAGTTGTGTGCAGAAATCCTGCTGTTAATGATTTGTGTGTGTAATTCCCAGATCACTTCACTCAGATTGTCAGGATGGTTTCCAGTTAAGACAAGAGACTGGCTTTTCTGTAACATGGCTGTCTTTGTCCATACCAATGCTGCATATCTCATGAGCAAGCAGTGACTAATGGAAATACACCAAAAATAGACAGCCCTTAAGCTTTAAGGCTTTGTCATGACCTTGATATGGAATTTGCTGACTTTACTCTCATTCTTGATGAGTCAGCCATGTTTGCCACTATGATGGTTTTTGAATGGAAGCACATGAGGAACTTTAGTTTTTCTGGCCCAAATTACGTTTTAGTAGAAGAAAGTGAAAATACAGACTCTAGGAAGCACTTTGTCTAAATAAGAAAGTAGAACTGTTCGTTGAGTTGTATATATGAAGGAGGATGCATTGTCCTAGTAGGATATTTATTTGCTGGACTGAGGTCTGTGGCTTCTCTTCTGGAGGACAGGTAGTAGCATGGGCTGTGCAAAAGAAAATACTAATCTGGTATCTTGACCTAGCCCCAATTCCTGGAGGCCTCCAATTCTACAGAACTGCCCAAATTCAATGTGGGACTATGAGGATCTCTTGCTGATTTGACATTCCCTGTGTGTTGGTTTCTTATGTGTCAAAGTTGTAAAGTGCAGTTCTACCTGGCTGGTAAGGAAAGCTATGTTTAATTTACTGCAAATAGTCAATTGATTTAAAATGCCAGGGCCTGTTTTTGGCGAGGGGGTTAAATGTCAAGATGGCCTTTATGCATTTTCAGCCTTGTGTCCACAATTGTGGGCACAGGTGATGCCATTTTCACCCAACTCCCTGTTTATATAGCATGTAGACTGGCTTCCAAATTACATTGTTTGTGCCCCAGCATGTAATTGTAAGTGGAAGATTATACCTTCTGTTTATCATGTGCTATAAGGGAGGCCAGGGTTTAGAGATCTGGCCCTAAATCTCTCATCGTTCCCCACCCAATTCCCATTGTTTTAAGTGCACCTTTCAGTGGAAATCTCATTACAAGATGCTGTAGCTAGCTAAAAATACACTCATGAATAATTTCACATATGTTGGTTAGCTCATTTATCCCCTTGTTTAATACATATTAACTTCAAGACAGAATATTAAGACCTGGAAATTCTGTCACCCTGCTGGAGTGGTGTGACTTGACTTGATCAACATATTCATAAGCAACACAATTTTGAAATTTACCTGTAAAATCAAATCTTACTTCTATTTTCTAGACAAAAATGGACACCAGTAAACTTCACGTAGACAGTAGGGTTGTGATCTGAACCTTTAGAGAAGGGGGTAAACATTTCAAAAACAAAAAGTCATTTAGGTGTGTTTGGAAACTTTACCCCAGAACTGATTTTTACCTTTTTAATTTTTGATTATTTTTACCTTTTTAATTTTTGATGATCTAATTTCAAATATAATAACATAAAATCTGACTGGCTGGTTTTATTATAATGCAACCATTTATTTCAAAGCTTCTAACAGAAAGCAAACAATCCATGGAGCTTAGATATATGAATGCATTAAAATTTGTCAGTGCTTGGTAATGAAGACTTTCAGAGGATAAATTCTACTTGATGGTTCTAGGAAAATGAATTATGGAAGCTACTGGTATATGAAAATCTTTTCTTACAAATATTAAAACACTGACAATAATGGGAAGAAACAAGTAACATTCCATTGCCATTATATCATAATGTATTTGGTAAAATATATTTTTAACCTGAGATGGTGAGGATCGAACACATTATAGCTGCAACTGCAGTCATTTAATTTACCTTGAGTAGATTGTCTTCATATTGAAATAGCTGCTCATGGTTACATTTTGACCTTCAAAGGACACAAATCCTATGTAGCTGCTGCATACAAAGCTCAATGCCTAGTCATACTGCCAATCAAAATACAGTAAAGCAACCACATTCTGTTCCAAAACAAATTCTGCCTCTATTCACCCCCTAACATGGGCTTCTGTTTCTTAGAATAATTGCGGTATAATTATATTTCTACTTGTAAAATGTCACTGTTTCTCAGCACTGTATCTGGGTTCACATTGCATTTACAGACTCGTGTTTCCTCTTCCCCTCAGATTGATCATTTTGGCTTTGCTTATGTTAACAGTTCATCAGTTCAGCAGAACACCACCGTTCACTTGGATAATGGTGAATATTGGTCCAACCGTGCAGCTGCGTATAAAGGAAAACCCCACAGAGCTATCTTTGAAGACAGCCTGGAGAAAATATACAGAAACATGTACAAAAAAGCTTCTGGCACCATTTCAAAAAGAAAAATACACTCCTGATAGTCTATACAACCAGAAATGTACAGTGCACAAGGTTACTATTTTTAATGAGAAATATTTTTGTGTAACAAATATTTGTACTCTTATTTTTTAACATGTACTCTTCACTGGGACGAACTCTTATGGGCTAGTGGGGCTTTGAGGCTGGGACCCCAAAAGCAAAATGTTAAAATAAAAAGAAAATCCGAAACAATTGAAGGTAAGCAGGCGCATTGTTCCCTTAAGAAGCTAGGATGGTGCTCTTTCACCCACCCCCTCGTCGTCTGTTTCAGTTCTGAAGCAGGTGCTGAGTAAGCTGGATGTTCCTATCAGTCATCAGTGCAGGCTTTGATTGTAGCCAACTCTATTTCAGTTATTAGCAATTTAATTTAAGTGGTTGAAAGCGACACCTGCCCCGGTGTTTAAAGAGCTAGTGAGATGATCATAGTACAATACTATCTGTTTAGAGGGATTTTTTTAGAAGGATAATGTCTGCTCATTCCAGGTCTGGAAATGGAGAAGGGAAAAATTCTGAGAATAACCCTGTAGCTGTGTTGAAAGTATTTCCCAGCACTTTCAGCCATGAACTTTCTATTAATGTCAAGCTCTTCTGAAAATAACTATCTCTATATTGCAAAAAGAAAAGGAGTACTTGTGGCACCTTAGAGACTAACCAATTTATTTGAGCATAAGCTTTCGTGAGCTACAGCTTACTTCATCGGATGCATACTGTGGAAACTGCAGAAGACATTATATACACAGAGACCATGAAACAATACCTCCTCCCACCCCACTCTCCTGCTGGTAATAGCTTATCTAAAGTGATCACTCTCCTTACAATGTGTATGATAATCAAGTTGGGCCATTTCCAGCACAAATCCAGGTTTTCTCACCCTCCGCCCCCCCCCCCCACACACAAACTCACTCTCCTGCTGGTAATAGCCCATCCAAACTGACCCCTCTCCTTACAATGTGTATGATAATCAAGGTGGGCCATTTCCAGCATAAATCCAAGTTTAACCAGAACGTCTGAGGGGGGGGGGGGGTAGGAAAAAACAAGGGGAAATAGGCTACCACCACTTTCTACAAGCCATTACCCTCTGATCCCACTGAGAGTTACCAAAAGAAACTACAGCATTTGCTCAAGAAACTTCCTGAAAAAGCACAAGATCAAATCCGCACAGACACACCCCTGGAACCCTGACCTGGGATATTCTATCTACTACCCAAGATCCATAAACCTGGAAATCCTGGGCGCCCCATCATCTCAGGCATTGGCACCCTGACAGCAGGATTGTCTGGCTATGTAGACTCCCTCCTCAGGCCCTACGCTACCAGCACTCCCAGCTACCTTCGAGACACCACCGACTTCCTGAGGAAACTACAATCCATTGGTGATCTTCCTGATAACACCATCCTGGCCACTATGTAGAAGCCCTCTACACCAATATGCCACACAAAGATGGACTACAAGCCGTCAAGAACACTATCCCCGATAATGTCACGGCTAACCTGGTGGCTGAACTTCGTGACTTTGTCCTTACCCATAACTATTTTACATTTGGGGACAATGTATACCTTCAGATCAGCAGCACTGCTATGGGTACCCGCATGGCCCCAAAGTATGCCAACATTTTTATGGCTGACTTAGAACAACGCTTCCTCAGCTCTCATCCCCTAACGCCCCTACTCTACTTGCACTATATTGATGACATCTTCATCATCTGGACCCATGGAAAAGAAGCCCTTGAGGAATTCCACCATGATTTCAACAATTTCCATCCCACCACCAACCTCAGCCTGGTCCAGTCCACACAAGAGATCCACTTCCTGGACACTACAGTGCTCATAAACAATGGTCACATAAACACCACCCTATACCGGAAACCTACTGACCGCCATTCCTACCTACATGCCTCCAGCTTTCACCCTGACCACACCACATGATCCATCGTCTACAGCCAAGCTCTGCGATACAACCGCATTTGCTCCAACCCCTCAGACAGAGACAAACACCTACAAGATCTCTATCAAGCATTCTTACAACTACAATACCCACCTGCGGAAGTGAAGAAACAGATTGATAGAGCCAGAAGAGTTCCCAGAAGTCACCTACTGCAGGACAGGCCTAACAAAGAAAATAACAGAACGCCACTAGCGGTCACCTTCAGCCCCCAACTAAAACCCCTCCAACGCATTATTAAGGATCTACAACCTATCCTAAAGGATGACCCAACACTCTCACAAATCTTGGGAGACAGGCCAGTCCTTGCCTACAGACAGCCCCCCAACCTGAAGCAAATACTCACCAACAACCACATACCACACAACAGAACCACTAACCCAGGAACCTATCCTTGCAACAAAGCCTGTTGCCAACTGTGCCCACATATCTATACAGGGGACACCATCATAGGGCCTAATAACATCTGATAGGTGAACTATCAGAGGCTCGTTCACCTGCACATCCACCAATGTGATATATGCCATCATGTGCCAGCAATGCCCCTCTGCATGTACATTGGTCAAACTGGACAGTCTCTACGTAAAAGAATAAATGGACACAAATCAGATGTCAAGAATTATAACATTCATAAACCAGTCGGAGAACACTTCAATCTCTCTGGTCACGCAATCACAGACATGAAGGTCACTATCTTAAAACAAAAAAACTTCAAATCCAGACTCCAGCGAGAAACTGCTGAATTGGAATTCATTTGCAAATTGGATACTATTAATTTAGGCTTAAATAGAGACTGGGAGTGGCTAAGTCATTATGCAAGGTAGCCTATTTCCCCTTGTTTTTTCCTACTCCCCCCCCCCCAAGACGTGCTGGTTAAACTTGGATTTATGCTGGAAATGGCCCACCTTGATTATCATACACATTGTAAGGAGAGGGGTCAGTTTGGATGAGCTATTACCAGCAGGAGAGTGAGTTTGTGTGTGGGGGAGTGGAGGGTGAGAAAACCTGGATTTGTGCTGGAAATGGCCCAACTTGATTATCATACACATTGTAAGGAGAGTGATCACTTTAGATAAGCTATTACCAGCAGGAGAGTGGGGTGGGAGGAGGTATTGTTTCATGGTCTCTGTGTATATAATGTCTTCTGCAGTTTCCACAGTATGCATCCGATGAAGTGAGCTGTAGCTCACAAAAGCTTATGCTCAAATAAATTGGTTAGTCTCTAAGGTGCCACAAGTACTCCTGTTCTTTTTGCAAATACAGACTAACACGGCTGTTACTCTGAAACCTATCTCTATATTGTAAGAAAACATCTCTTCTTCATGCATCCCAATGTAACAATGTCTAAAAGTTTCCAGGATCACTTTCGGAGCTCGTCGGCGAGAGCCAGATGCTCCATGCATGCATTATGAAGTCCCTGCATCACAATCCCACCAAATTTGGAGCCTGTCCTTACTATCCTGCTGGGGATGTATTGGCAGAAATTGCATCTTTTCATTAAAGGCCACCAAATGTTCGGCAGTAGTTAGATGCTTTCCCAGGAGAGGGAACCTTTTCAGCCTCACATTGAACAGCTCTCACATTAACAGACCAGGGCAAGCTGCCCATCTGAGTGATTTAAAAGGGCAGGCATGTCCATCTCCCGCTCTTTTCTCCCATTTCAAAAGGAAATATGTATCCTGGTGCATTCGCTACAGAAGCAGGTAGCTGGGACAGATTCAGTTACGCTAGTGCCATCTTTTATATCTTGCTTTTGGACAAAGGATAAAACTAGCTGTACAGATGGCAGAAATCTAGGACTATAACCTGCCAACATACAGGGATAGAGTAAATGTTGGCCTACTCCTATCTGGGCTTTCTTACTAAGATAACCTAATTGATTTAAGGAAGCAGCCGGTGAACGAGTAAGTCAGGTGGAGAGCACATTGAAAGGCTGTGCATTGCAGCTTTAGGAAAGGGGGCTTTTGGAGGAAGTGTACTGAATACAGACATTTCTGCTCCCGGTAACAGCTAAGCCAGTCACTGGATTAACAGCTCCACGTTCCTGGCCTTGATCATACTTGGCCCTTGCAGTGCTTTAGCTTTTCAAACTGCAAAACAAAGATTAACCAGTTATTTAATTCTCACAGCCTCCTATAATGTAGAGAAGCATTATTAAGTCTCTTTTTAGAGATGGAAATGTACAGCACAGACTTATCCAAAGTCAGGGGCTCACCGGCACAGCAGGGTTTAGAATGTGCAAGTTTCTGGATCCTAGCCCTGTGCTTATCCATTAAACTGGGCTGCTTTTCTTTGGCTCCAGTCCTTATTGGTCTGTACTACAGTAGTTTCTTAATCGATAAAATTGGCCAATGAAAAGATGGCAGGAAGAAACTATGAAGACCACTTATGCATCACGAAAAGCCAAGGCAGGATTTGATTGGTTCTCTGCCAGCACGTGACCTAGAGTTACCCAATCGACATCTACATTGCAAGTGCAGGTTGAAATGATTTCCTGGGTGTGAATGAGCACTCAGCCATGAGTCCTGTCTTCCTGCCCATGCAGTCAACCCCTCTTTGTTCAGGACTCCCTCCTGGCCTGACCCCCGATGTCATAGCTGAGTGCAAACTGTAAGCATGCATGTACATTACTATTGTTCATGTAACCAGAGCAACGCTGGTGTATACCCTAGGCATGCTAGACCTGCAGGATATGAAGTGTGTACTGTGTATGCACACACTCTGTGTGCCTCACCTTGACTACTTCCGGTTGTCTAAAAAGTTTTAGCAGCCGCAAGCATCCTTCATAGTCTCAGCAGGACAGGTGTAATTGTGGTGTATGGACTAAGAATATTTTGGATATCACCTGCTGCTCTTTGTTTTGCACTTTGGCCCATTCTCTCTCCGTGGTATAGGAGTGCTACTCGCTGCCACCCATCTCTGATGGTTCAGCCAATTAGTTACTAATTTCAGCCCCATTAGTTCAATGCGTGGGAGGTGTTGAACATACAGAGGTGCCATCTCCTTGCATGTGAGACTGGAGACCCCAGCCCCACATACGCAGCCAGAAAATCGAGGGATGGGGAAGACAGGGGAGAGAGATCCACCATGAGTTGGAGGATGGAAAGAAAGGGTGGGCTAAAGGGGCAGGAGTTTGGTGGGAAAGATGAGGCTGTAATTTAAGTTCCATTTTAGCCTAATTGAAAGGTGGCAATCCAGGTTCTTTAAATTTTGGGGGAACCTACAGGCTTAGTCTGGGCTTCCTTTAGGAAGAATTGGAGAGGAAAAGAAGCGTTCATATCTGAATTTTGCTGGATAGGAATATTCTCCCTATGAAGTTTTGCTATATAACATCACTTGTGCAATAAATTGAATGGCTACCCTTTGGTCCTACTCCTATCATGTGTGTAGATGTTTTGCCTCTTAGAATCAGCTAGTATCATCAGTATCAGCTAACCACCTCTGTGATGGCAGGATTGTGCTTGTATTATGTACACCAGGGTATAGCTAAGGGTTTTTTTCCAAACCCTGTCTTGGAATCCATTTCTGTTGTTGGGGGAAACTTGTATATGAAATGGGACTTAAGAGTCAAGGTACACAGCTCTGTCCATTTGAAATCTGCAAGCCGCTTTTAACACAAGTTAAAGAGGCCCCCCCTCTCCTGCTTGTGTGCTTGGCTAACCTTCTATTAATACACCTCTAGCTCAAGTGCAGAGAAGACTGATTCTCCTCCGCTACTGCTGTGTGCGAT